CCAAAATAGCTTGCCTCTGGGAACTCTATGAAAGTGGAGAAATGATGAAAGTTATACAAGTGTTCAGGTCTTTCGTTCATAGGGTCGCTATGAGTCTCCTATGACTCGACAGCCCTTAAAAACAACAACAACAAGTGACAACATAAGTTGTAAAGAATAAAGACTAAATCACCACACAGGAAACGGGAAGAGAGCATTGCTTCCCACCCTGTTGGGAGGGGAGCTGTTCCTCCACATGTAGAATGTATGTACAAACCCACAAGGAAAAGGCAACTTGAGATAAAACATGAGCTACTGCAAGAGTAGTCACTTCAAAGTAAAAGAGGTACTAGTCCTTAAACAGGGAGCTTGCTGGCCTAGTGGGTAAAGAGTTGTGCTGATAGCTCCAAGACAGGGAGTTCAAACCTACCAGCTGGTCCTCAGTGGAGCAACAGGCAATCGCCTTCTGTGACATTTAGAGCTTCTGCAAACCTCTGCAGGGTCAACTCGGAGTCAGTTCCAACTCAATGGCACATAAAACAAAAGTCCTTACACACAACAAGTGTTTGATAACATTCAGAAATGAACATAATAGAATTCATGCACTGTTTCCAACCTCCAAAGTGGGCAAAAGGTACCAGGTGTGACAAGCAGGGGCCACACCCCCTCAGGTGGCTGTCACTGGGTGTGACTGCATAAGAGAGAACTGGCTTTCAGATCAGAAAGACTATTTCCAGATCCACCTTGAAATATAATGTTGTGAGAGACAGGATAATACCCATACACATACAAGGAAGACTTGTTAATACTCCTATCATTCAAATATATACCCCACCAACCAGAGACAAAGAGGAGGAAACCAATGATTTCCATCAACTGTTGCAGCTGGAAATAGACTGAACATGCAACCAAGATGCTTTGATAGTAACAGGTGACTGGAATGCAAAAGGCGAGAACATGGAAGACGGTTCAGTGGTTGGGAAACATGGACTTGGTGACAGAAATGGGGCTGGAAATAGAATTCTGTACAATTTGTTATTTATTCATTGCAAATACCTTTTACAAGGAACGCAAATGTGACTGTGCACATGGACTTCACCTGATGGTCTACACAGGAATCAGATTGATTACATCTGTGGACAGCATCACTGGAGAAGGTGAATATCAGCTGCAAAAACGAGGCCAGGCACTGATTGTGGACCAGACCACCACTACTCACAGGAAGCGAAAGAAAATGAAATCAAATCCACAAGATCCAAAGTCTGACCTTGAGTCTATCCCACCTGAATTTAAAAACCATCTTGGGGAGGAAGCTCTGGTGGCCTAGTGGCAAGAAGCTGCACTGCAGTCCCAAAGGCACCCAGTTCAAATCCACCAGATGTTCTGCTGGTGAAAGAGAAACAATCTCCTTTGCCAGTCGGATCTGATTCGATGGCACACAACAAGGGGGG